ATCAAGTTATTGAATCCCTTGGTATGGTAGAAACTGCTCATCTATAGAAAGTCAAAATTTGGTTAACCAATGCACTATTGTTAGCTGCAGTGTAGATATATTCTTTAGCCTACATACAATTTAATGTTTCTGCTGATTTGCATTTTGATTCTGTTGCTAGTTGTTTCTGCTTGCTTCTCGAGTTTTAAAATTCTATTGTATTTTGGAAAATTATTTCAATTTGCCAGTTCAAGCTGCCTTGTCAGTTTGAACTGCCATCTTGTGCCATCTCTCCGATGACTTGTTTATTTGCAATTCTATGATTGGGCTGTCTATATTTTGCCATAATTCTATTTTCTTGGTTTGTGTTAATTGTTGCGTTATTCTTCAATATTTAACTGGAGTATGTGAGTGAATTGTTCATGTGATCATTTTTCTTTTTTACCTGCTATTATATGCCTGAAAGTTTTAGGCTCGGTCAATGTAATAGAAATTCATTAAATGTCAAAAACTTTGATGCTAGTTGCCTAAAATCTTCATCTCTCCTTGGCTAGTTTTTGTGGATTGTCATTTACTCTGCTAAATTCTGAGGATCATAAAGTAACTATTTCAATGTATTTTCTGTTACATTAAAGGTGCTGATCTTAAGAAGATACAGAAATGTATTGGCGACCCTGAAGCAGATGAGGAGAATGCAGTTCTGAAGGCCGAACAGGATGCACAGGTTGGGCTCTTGGGAACTGTTTAACATGCTCTAGCCTTATCTTTCCATCTTTTCATTTTTTGTATATAGTGTGTTACCGTGTTCTCATATTTCACTTCTCAAATCGAGTTTCAGATTGGCAAAGGCGCCCGTGGAGATGTTACAATATTGCCAACTCTTGTAATAAACAACAGACAGTATAGAGGTATGATACAACTCGTTTACATATCCCATTAGGCATTTATTCACATCACCTTTCTTGTCTCACGATTGTTCGTTTTGTATGTTAAGGGAAACTGGACAAAGGAGCTGTTCTCAAAGCCATCTGTGCTGGTTTCCAAGAGACCACTGAGCCCTCTGTTTGTTTAAGTGAAGGTCCTCATTTGCCTTGTTTTTCTATGACTGTTTCCTATGTTTTTTTTTTTTTTTGGGTATGTTATGTCAATTGATTCTGTTATTTCACGTGTGAATTTATATGATGATACATGTGAATATTTTGAATCTACTGCTTACCTGTCTTTGCTGTACTTGCCATTATTATAAAGCGGGTGATTCCCGGCAACCAAAACAATACTCTTGTACACAATAAAAACCAACTGTAGTATAACTTATTTAATAAAATGATGATGCCCCTTCCAGTAAAAACCATGCTACTTGAATGTATGTGTGCGTGCAGGCTTGCAATAAGTATTTGTAACGGTATCATAAGTTTCCAACCATGTCTGGGTACCATGTTTTTACAAAGATTATCGAATGGAAGAATTATATCCTTGGCGCAAACTCTATTATCTCTGAGATGGTTTCATTTGCCTGTTTATTTGTGTTTTCCAGATGTACAAACAAATGAGTGTTTAGAGAACAATGGAGGTTGCTGGCATGACAAAGCTGCTAACATTACTGCGTGCAGGGTATCTTTTGTCATAAACTTTCATTCGTGTATTCTTTTTGTTTGGGTGGGTGGGTGGGTGTGGGGGATGTTCAGAGTTATTGATATGTGAGTTTGTTTGGGATTTACCGATCGTTCTTTTGTTTTAGGATACATTCCGCGGAAGATTGTGTGAATGCCCTATTGTGCAAGGCGTGAAGTTTGTTGGTGATGGTTATACTCACTGTGAAGGTAAATTATTTGAATGTCATATGTGTTTAGTTGTGGCATAAATTCCAAATTTTCACGTGTACTGCCAGTAGAGGTTATCTGATCTTAGTCAAGGTTATAGTCTCTAACTTACCAGACATTACTTCGTTTATATTTCCTTTTTCATCTTTCATTTTTCTTTTGTTCTAAAGAAAAGTTACAAGTACCATTTTTCTTTTAGGACTGGGTTCTTGAAATAACCTGCCATTTTATGTACTTGTTTTGTTTTACTCAAGTCATTATGTTGCTTGTTTGATTGAGCAGCTTCAGGAGCATTACGTTGTGGAATAAACAATGGAGGTTGTTGGAAGGAAACCCGATCTGGCCGGACTTACTCTGCATGTCGTGTAAGTTTGGATATGAATTATTTTAAGAGTCTATCTCCCCTCTAAAGTAAAAGTGATTATGATTTCTGATTAATGGATGTTCAGGATGACCATACACATGGTTGCAGTTGTCCACCAGGATTCAAGGGTGATGGAGAGAAAACATGTGAAGGTACCTGCTATGTGTAGATGTCTCTAATTAGTGTAATTCATGATGGCTCGTTAAGCATAGTTAGCTTAAGCTCCCAAGTCCCATTTCCATGGATTTTCTACCAGAAACTGTTTATACCACATTTCTATACACTGTTTTACCATCAACCGAAGATTACCAACTTCCTGGACTTTTAAGTTTGTAAGGCTACTTCTCTGTTGTTTCTCATAAAATATTAAATTTATTAGGCTACCAAATGAGCACATAATGTAGGGTCTTGGATTTGAAGGCCACCACTGGTATTACAAGTTAAATACTTATGATTTTAATCAGTCTTCTTGATTATCATCCCACGTTGCCCAGGTGAATGGTTGGATTTCCTCATAATCTGCTACCGCCTTTCACTGGTGCTTTATTTCATATTGTAACCAACTAAATGACGTTATTCTCTTGTATTGATATGAATTCACCCACCCGGTTTTCTGCTTTTTTTCGTGTTCCAGATGTTGATGAGTGCAAGGAGAAAACGGCTTGCCAATGTTCACAATGCAAATGCAAGAATACTTGGGGAAGTTATGAGTGCAGTTGCGGTGGCGGTTTACTGTACATGCGAGAGCATGATGCATGTATAGGTGAGTATTCTCAAGTCTTTTCTGTTTTAGTCATTTGAATGACATGCTGGTCAGCTGGTGTAGTTTTGTTACCAAACTAGTCAGCCATTTCAACCTCGCAATTCATTAGATTGTGACATTGGAACGACCTTTTCACACGGAGATTTAATCTAAATGATAGAATCCCTGTTGTGTGTTTCCTCTCATTAAATCATGTTTGACACATGTTTCCTACCTTCTGTCGTACTTTTTTTAAGCAGGTAAAAACGGAAGTGGTTCTGGGTCTAGCTGGGGCTTAATTTGGGTTATCATTCTCTGCTTGGGTGCTGTCGGAGTTGGGGGCTTCGCAGTTTACAAGTACCGAATCCGGGTATGTTTCCTTACTCTCAAATTCTCGATGCAAAAAATACGTATGTAAATCCAGTTCGCTCTACGAGTCCACTTTCGACGATGTGTCGGTCCTAAAAGTGGTTTGTTGAATCTCTCTTGTGCAGAGATACATGGATTCGGAGATCCGGGCAATCATGGCGCAGTACATGCCGTTGGATAATCAAGGAGAAGTTCCCAGCCACGTCGCCCACGGGGATATCTGAAACCGGCGGAGAGACATATTCATAAGACATAAGATGCTGTCCGAGAGAAAAGGGAAGACAACCAACGTCCTGAAATCCCATGTCCTCCTCTCGCCTCTAGGCGCTAGCTATTTGTTTCATTTCGCGTGAGATTGTAACGTTTTAGATGTGCATCTAGCGATTCACATGATATATTCTAGCAGGAAACATTAGATACCAAGTAGTTTTTTTATTCAAAGTAATAAACTTTTTACCGTTGGAATCAGCATTTTTTTCTCTCTGAAGTAAAGTTGATCATTTATTTTTTCCAAGTTTATAAGGTTGAACACGAAATTTAAAATGTAGGAGTAATTTAGCGTCTATTTGATATTCTATTTGTATTCAACATTTTCAACTTAAAAACATTTTTCAAGTTTTAAGCCTTAAACTTGTTTGGTAAAACTATTTTAAAAAATTGAACTCAAGATTAACTTAAAAAAATATATATAGAATTAAACTTCTTTTTTTTTTTCCCAAAAAAGAGGGATAACTGGTGACAAGTCATGGTTACCCACTTCTTTGGAGCTCATAAAGGTTATAGGGAATTTCATCCTGACAATGGCTATAGATCTATAGTTGAGGTATCCCAAATGAGCCCTAAAAGTGGCAGAAGTAGCCAGCCATTGAGTAAGTTTAGTCAGTTCATTAGGAAGAAGTAAACCACTCACCCCAATATTTATAGCAGATTCACTAGCTCGAAGCCTTAAACCCGAGACTTTTCACATTTTGTTTGTTTATTGGAGAGTTGCAGTTCGCACCCTAAAACACCGGACTACTTGATGTGGTTTAGAGTTTTCAAACTTAGCTCAGTTCTTTTTTTTTTTTTTCTCTTACCCCTCCCCTCTCACTCCAAATCTCTCTTTTTTCATCTCTCTTTCCTCTCTTCATTCTCTCCTCTTCTCCCCACCTTTCTCTTCTATTCTCTTCTTTCTTCTCTCTCCTCCCCTTTTATCTCCTTCGATCCTCCATCTTCTCGGATCCTTTTTTTTTTTTCTTCCACCTCTTTCATCTTTCTCCCTCTCTTGCGACCCCTTTTCCTTTGATCTCTTTGTCCAGTTTAAATTTTGAGATTTGAAAATAATTTTAAATCTCATACCAAACAAGTTTTTGAGTCTTAAAGATGATTGTTTTCAATAGATGTTCTTAAGAAATGTTTTTAAAATTGATGAAATTCTTTTAATAGAATAGCGAACAAACTCTTAGTCATTTAACACTGCTATTTTTCACTTATTTTATTTTCCAAAGAATGAAAAAAAGAAACTCCTTTAAACTCCTAGCATATGTGGCATGTGCCTTTTTCCTGGTAAGTTGTTAATGAATTGCTCCTCAATAAATAAGTTAATTAAGAAAATGAGAATAGTGTCTAGGAAACAACTCCATGTGTTACAATCGTTAGATCTTAATTTTTATATTTTAAAATAAAATTTAACAGTTAGAACACCCGAAGTCACCCAAGAAAGTCCCTAGTAGGAAATGCCGAAAAGGAGAGCAAGAACACCATATATTATTACAGATATAAAAATCAAATGATTGCCCTGATAAACTAAATGATGATACAACAAAGTGAAAAAAAAAAAAAAAAAAAAAAAAGAAAGAAAGAAAGAAAGAAAAGCGCGTTAAGTTCTGTTGCTCGTTCCCAACAGAAGCGCATAAACGTTCTCTCACAGCTACCGCTTTCCCGCAAATATCATTAGCCTGGCGCGGACGGAGATGGTTACTTGGCTCTGCCGGGAACACCAAACCATATTATATATTCCAGTTTCAATCACTGTTGGTACATCTACATAAAAGAAGCATCGCACCGCACCTCATGTAAGAAACGATCTGCAAACTCACGTTGAACGCTCTCTAACTCTCTGTCTCCTTCTCAAAGTTGGGACCCTTTTGATCCTCGCGATTCTGTACAACCTTATTGAAATAGAAAGCTACAACTGCTCCACTGCACAGAAAAAAAACCATATTATCAGATAACAAACTCTTTTGAGCTCTGCACGATAATTATCAAAAACTCGTAATATTCTGAACAAGCGAAATAAAAAACTCACACTATACGGTTTTGGTATTAGCTACTAAAAAAACGATGATTTTATCTTCATTTCAAATAAACATAATATACTCTTTTAACATTTTTATGCTGGAAAGTGCGCATTGTTGCTCATCGGTGTGCATCCGAAGGTTAGGCGGGAGTTGGCAATCTGTATCATCTAGAGACCATCTAGTCGGAAACAATCAAAGAACCATGCAAGTCTATTCCACTATTGTCCCTCTCTCAGCTTGTTCTTTAAAACTAGATGCCATCATGTCTTTCCCAAAACCAACTGTTATTGTTTACCTTTCCAGAACGGGGATTTTGAGAGCGAAAATCAAAACTCTTTTAGTAATTATATCATTGTCTCTATGTCCTACAAAGACTAAATATATTTTCCTCTGATAAAAGAAAGGCAAGAAAGTAAATAGCATCACAAAAATGATAAGACGCATGAATCATATAACCTGACAAGGGTTGTTAAAATATTCGGAAACGATGGTCTCTGCAATTAGGAGAAACAAAAACAGAAACAATAAATATCAGAAATTTGGAAGACATGTCAATTACACTAGTAAAGAAACTGAAATGTAAAAATTAGAAAAAGAATGAATTTCTAACCTGAGCCAGAACGATTACCTCCCTTAGAAAAATTATACTGGATATAGCTGCAGGTCCAATAATACAATAAAAATTATACCAAAGATAAACTAAATCATGTAATTAAACCTAAATTGCATAAGCTCCAATATGTATCTTTACCTGTCTGCCCTGTCAAGAAAAAGGGAGATGATTTTCCTTTTCTATATGATCTTAAACTTGAAACGCTTAGAAACAAAAGAGTGCCACCAAGGATAACCCCAAACCTAATTGCAGAAATGCTTCCCGTTACCAAGAAGGAAAGGAATCCACCCACAGAAAGCCAAAGACCTACAAGGCATAGGCGCAGGCACAGGCACATAAATTTACTAAAAGCTTTGGGGGTGAAAAAAAAAAGGCAAGTCTTTTTCATAAGTTAAATATACCATAAGGTATCCCAACGCGAAAGTCACGGACTTGCACAACATCATTGGGATCAATAGCTGATATATGATATGCTTCAACAATTTCCCTCACTGGCTCAGGGGAATTGGCTTCAGCTATGGTGATATAATGTTCACTGATTTCATTTGCTCTCTCACTCAAATCATCCCTTGCCTTATCAGCATATATTTTTAACTGCTCCGAAGTATCTTTCATAATAACCAATGCTTTCTTCGAGAATTCCCGTGAGAGGCTTCGCAGCTTCAAGGTTTGTTCCTTGAAAGAACCCAGAGTTTGTTTCGAAGGTTCTTCTGATTCTTCAGATTTCGGTTTGGCATTGTTGTTTTCATTCTCCACCTCAATATCTGAATGCTGCTAAGAACAAAAATTCAATTTAATGTCACGATAAGTGGACAAGTTGCGTCCCCATTGAACAATTAATACAACCCGGCTCATCCATATATCTACCTTCCCATAAACCTCAAACAAACCTGAAACCTACATTTTATAACGCTTTGTCCCAAATTTTTTAGCAAATGATCATGATATCAGGATAGCATAACCAAACATCCAGTCAAAAGAACTGGACAAATGGAAACTAAAATCCCAAACCCGAATTTCCAAAAACATTCATCACAATCATACTTTTTTCCCAATTCCCATATGCCAAAATCGAAACTTGATACAATCCCACACAAGCACCAGCATTCTTTAATCAAACACTTGGCGTGCATTAACCTCAAACCCCCATTCTCATTAAAACCAAATCAAAACACTATTACCAATAACCAAACACTCATAATTCCATCATTGACAAAGAAAAAACTCAAAATTTCAGCTTACAGATTCGTCCTGGGAAGCAGAGACGGCGACAATTGGCCGAGTCCACAAGCTCCGCCTGTGCAGGGACAGAGAAGCGCCGGAAAGCACTTTCGGGACGGCAATAGGCGAGCCTCGGTAACCACGTGCTGCAACCAATTGTCCAAACCGCAGAGAAGAACACGAAGGTGACTTCTTCAATCCACAGCTGCTAGGGTCAGGGTTTAAGAGCGAGATGGACTGCAATGTCACACTCATTGTGAATCAATCCTAGAGAGAGAAAGCGGAGAGAGATAGAGCGTGTTTGAAACTGAGGCGAGGCTGACGAGGAGAGGTAGCTAAAATGCGGCGAAGGGTGCAATTTTTATAGTCTAAGTTAGAAAATTTAATGAAATTCGAAGAACCGCTGTGAAATACAAGCAACGCTAAGCGTTAGTTTGACAGCGTATTGCGCCCGCTTCTAGCGTGTTCAAATAAATTTATTATATATCATATAAATACGTTTTTTTAATATTTAAAAATATATATAATTGTATTGAAATGTATAAATTGTAAAATAAAACGATATATAAATTATAAAGTATTTGAGCATATTCGCGATCTATGTAGTCTAAGTTGATGCCTAAACAAATCTGGACATCTTTTCTTAATTTCAAACGTTTAAAAATTAATTAAGACAATGACCAGCCGTTTAACATCTAGACGACGCTACTAGACGGGTATCTATAAAACAGTGATCAGGAGAAGTTGAAGGGCTTTAGGGGTCCTGGGCAAAAATGCCCCGTGGGGGTGAGGTACGCGCCAGTTACTGCGTGTTTGGTTGCCTGGATGTGGGAGAAAAGAATCCGGCTAATGCCTTGGTGACACGTAATCAGTATGTGGTCAGTTGTCCCACGCGCGCCCACCAAATCTTTTTGTTGAAGTGCCGACGTGGTGGTGCTTGTGTTTCGTTAAACGACATTAATATGGATGTCGTATGATTTGAACATAATCATTTGCTTCTATCACTAGTAAGTTTCCATCATTTTTTACCATAATCCTATTTAGAGAAGGGGATAATTGGACACATGATCTTTGAAGGGATGAAACTTACACACACCCAAGAAGTTTATGCGGTAATATTATAATTTAGTCACGCATTGTCATGTGTTTAACTTTCTCACGTAACAGTGCGTGATTGACTTGAGATACTGTTGTTGTGACATTCTTTTCACATGCAAGCGGTTCTATTCAAATAAAAAAGTAAAACATTGTGCTCATGTGAACTACGAAGCTGGATGCATGAAAAACGTTCGACCATGATGCAAAGTTGTAGTAAGTGTATGTTTGAATTCTTGGGACATTCTTTATTTCTTGCAGAACATGAACGAAACGTTGGGCAAGATATATGAGCAAAGAAAGGGATAGATGCAAATTAAAGGACAACCATATTTGCAATGCTTGGAAACAAAAGGAAAGCAAGGCACCTCCAGCTAGCTTGCAGGCTCTCTCTTACAACAAAGCCAAAAGCGGAAAGCTTAAACCATATGGGAATCCACATGCATTTATTTGTGCAAAACTCCTGCTGCATGTTGCTTGTCAGTCTCTTCCTTGAGACTATGGGATCGAAGATTTTCGCTTGAACTTTCCCAAAGACTGGCACTCGAAGGCTTGCAGAGCAGCCTGATAAAGAAGTCCGTCGTATAGAAGGTGTTACACGACGGACTTGCCAATTAGTAACATAGTAACAATGGTTTGCCAATAAAGCGAATACTGTAACACAAAGGGCGAAACCACCTTGGGGCTAGGGTGGGCTCTAGCCCAGTTGAAAATCTAGGCAATTGAAATTTTATGTCTAACTTTATGAAGTTCATTCATTTAGTAAAATTTAGCACACCTCATTTGCATTCAATTAAATCTGTATTTAAAATATCTGCGAAATTTTCGATATTTTTTTTGATATAGAAAAGGAAGGGGGTTGAAATGCAAACTTCACCTTGTATCAGCGAAACATTGGAAAATCATGAATATCGAGGATATTTATTGATTCACTACATAAAATTTGTTGGAACCCATTACAGATTTCGAACTTTCAAAATTTTTTGAGAAATTTTTTTCTAATTTCGACTAAATCTAAATGAGTTGACATACTCACTTATTGCAAATTTTCATAATTTCTATCGAAGGTAACCGGTATCGATATATTCTTAATATTTTCATAAATTTGCATATCGATATTTTAAGCACCGATCATACTTTAAAAACTCTTAAGACAAAACCAATCACGCACACCGTGAGACTCGTCAAAGCCCAACTCTAACAAATGGCCTAATAAGTTTTAGGCCCTCAACCTTTATGTCATTGTTCTTTAATTTGGGAGATAGGAGTACCACAGTAGAGGAGCCCATTTAAACCTCAAATCTTCCAACGAATTCTTTGTGCTTTTTTAGAAATCCATGGCTTCCGTATATTAGAACGAGAATCCTCTACAAATCTTCTTTGTAAGGATCTCGAGAATCCTCCAATCACATCCGTTAATTGTACATTATACAGTCAGTTTTCATCAAGTACGGTTTATATTCAATTTTAAATAAAAAAATTTACAATAATTTATAATCATATAATAAAGAATAAATAAATATCATTAAAAAATTCGTAGAATTCTTACAAAAAGTTCCAACGAGAATCCTCGTTCCTTATTTTAAAGCAAAGAACTTTGACAAAGCTTTGATTAATTAATTTAGAATTGCTAATCAAAGATGCGCCAGTTACGCCACTCATCTGCCATCTCTGACATCTCCCAATCCTCCCAAGAAGCACATTTAATTTAAACATCGATACTCGAGACACACAGAAGATACAAAATATGTAGGCGTGGAAACTTGAAACAAGCAAGGAGAATTTTCTTGCACTTTGGAAGCTTCGGGTTTAAATTAATTGGGCAAAATACATAGATTTGAGTTTCCAGAAGTCAAACAAAACAAAAACAGAAGAGGTCCAAAAGAAGTTGGTGTAAGCTGGTTTAGAGTATTTGAACAAAGCCAAAGCTTGGTGTCTAGTACTTGGTCGACTAGTTATATAAGGAATTTTGACTGTACTTTCTGGGGTAGGACAAAAGGAAAAAGTAAAGACTGTAAAGATGGAGACACATGCTCTTGAGTAACATGTTTACTGCAAGAAAACACGTCAAGTTAGTTAGAGCAAGTATGCTCAAGCAGAAATTAATTTTTGAGTTAGGCTCGATATAAGTTTTGAGTTTTGTTTCTTTGAATTTGAAACAAGAAGTTTTCAAGATAGTAGTTTTCTTGTTCTTTAAATTTGATGAATATTCTAGAATTTATAGTGTCTTAAGTCGATTAGGTTTCATTTTTCTACTTAAGAGAATCTCATATCAAGGATTTCAAATTCCTGTGTTTGACCACCTTATCTTTAAGACATGTCTTACAAAAATTGAAAAACATAAGATCTCCTGTAAATTGATTTTACTTAATTTCACGTGGTCTTACCCAATCCAAGAGTTATTCTAGTTAAAGATAAAAATTGTATAGGTCCAAAAAGTATGACCGTGTCTATATGCATTGAGAGCTATACTTGCATCTTGCGAGTCTGGTACTCAAATGCAATAGAACTCATTTTTTTATGAAATTATCTGACCAACCAGCTTATTAGAATGCCCTACTTATGTTTCTCTACTAATTAAGCAACACTACCAAATATCTTGTTGTAATTGCTCAAAAAGCCAAGTGGATAACACCTTGGATTCTAGTTTGACCAAATGCACAACTCCAATAAAGCCAATAAAATAAAGAGCTCACACTATTCCTCACTCACTCTCTCTCTCTCTCTCTCTCTCTCTCTCTCTCTGCCATCGCCGTTAGAAGCTTTGAATGCTTCGCTTTTACTCTCTTGCCAGAGCCAGCAGAGCCACTCCACACCAACCATTATTATTCCTCTCCCACTCTTCTTCTTCCTCCACACCAACCCCAACACACTCCCTGACACTCTTTCTTCAATTCCCTCCCTCCCTCCTCCCTCTCTAGGGTTTGAACTTCGAATTCCACCCCTCTCCCGCCTCTTCCCCCGCCACCCTCCGCCTCCCGTCTCCTCCCCCAAAACCCATATCCCCCCTCCACTCTCCCACCTCAAAGCCTCCACCTTTAATCACTTTTATGCTCTTTTTTTTCCCTGGTTTTCTCAAAAACCCCAACAAAAAAAAAGGGATAAAAAAAGCAAGAGAAAAAGTGGAAGGGTGTTGTGATTGATGTTGGTGGGTTGATCACTTTACCTTTTGCCCTTTTTCTTTGCCCATTATCACACATGCCTTAGTTGCATTTCTCTGTTCAGTTCGAACATTTACACCAAGAAACCTCCTCCTCTGTTTTTCTTCACAGCTTTCAAGCTTTCAGACTTCTGAAATTTTCATGGGATTTTATCAGACTTGAAAAAAAATGGCGTTTGAGCTCTGTTTTCTGCTTCTTCTTGCTCCTCTTCTCGTACTCGCCCTGGACCCCGTTTTCAACGACGACGTTCTGGGCCTGATCGTCTTCAAGGCGGGACTTTCCGACCCGGAAGCCAAGCTCGCCTCTTGGAACGAGGACGACGACAGTCCCTGCAGCTGGGTCGGAGTCAAATGCGACCCGACAACCGGCAGAGTCGCCGAGGTTGTTCTCGACGGATTATCGCTATCCGGGCACATCGGCCGCGGCCTTTTGCGGCTGCAGAATCTGCAAAGACTCTCGCTTTCCGACAACAACTTCACTGGGTTCATAAACCCGGATCTCCCACACCTCGGGAGCTTGCAGGTTATCGATTTGAGCCGGAATAGCCTATCTGGGTCGGTCCCGGAGGAGTTTTTCATGCAATGTGGGTCTCTCAGGGTGGTTTCTTTCGCCAGAAACAACCTCACTGGGCGGATTCCAGAGTCCCTGAGCTTGTGCCAGACGTTGGTGGATGTGAACTTTTCGTCGAATCGGATGTCCGGGAAGTTGCCGTCTGGGATTTGGTACTTGAGAATGCTTCAGTCGCTTGACTTGGCGGATAACTTGGTGGAGGGTGAAGTTCCTGAAGGTATTGAGAATTTGTATGATTTGAGAGTGATTAACTTGGCAAAAAACCGATTTTCAGGACAGCTTCCTGGGGACATTGGAAGCTGTTTGCAGTTGAAGTTGCTTGATTTTAGTGAGAATTTGTTTTCTGGAAGAATACCGGATTCGATTCAGAGGCTCAATTCATGCACTTGTCTGAGTTTACAGCGGAATTTGCTTGCGGGGCAAGTTCCGAATTGGCTTGGCGATTTGAAGAACCTTGAGGTGTTGGATGTGTCTGGTAATAATTTCTCTGGTGAAATTCCAAGTTCATTAGGAAATCTCGAGCTACTCGAAAAGTTGAACTTGTCTAGGAATGGATTTACTGGAAGCTTGCCTGATACGTTGGCAAATTGCAACAATCTGCTAGCCATAGATGTTAGCCATAATCTGTTAGCAGGTAAGCTTCCTTCGTGGATTTTTAAGCTCGGTCTGCACGGTGTCTCGCTTTATGGCAACCGATTAGGTGGAAGTGAGGAGTACAGTTCATTGGCGTCAATGGCAGCTTCTAATGGAGGCCTGCAGGTCTTGGATTTGTCGTCGAACGCGTTTTCTGATGTGCTTCCATCCGACATTGGTGTTCTTAGTAGCTTGCAGTTTTTGAATATGTCAGGGAACCATCTGTTGGGTTGGATTCCAGCAAGTATAGGTGAATTAAAGGCGGCATATGTTCTCGACTTGAGTGACAATTGGCTCAATGGAAGCATTCCTGATGAAATCAGAGGGGCAGTCTCACTCAAGGAAATAAGACTGCAGAAGAACTTTCTAACCGGGAAAGTTCCAGCCGAAATTGCAAAGTGCTCATCTCTGACAAATCTGTAAGCTCTCTTGTTCTTCTTATGTCTACTTCTTCGGTTATGTTCCTTTACACATGATTTATAACGAACGGTAAGGAACCTGACTTAATTACATCAGAAAGTGCTTAACATGAAGATGTTTTCCGAATGCTTTTCATTTTTCCAATGTTTTTGTTTTCTGTTTTCTTTGGCAGTAGGTATATATAGTAGCAATGCTGAAGTATCTTACTCTACTTACAAGTATAGATGGAGCTTAAATTGGTCTGAATTGTTTTTCTTTTACGTGTTCGAATTATACAGGATTCTATCTCAGAACAATCTGACTGGCCCTATTCCTACAGCCCTTGCTAACCTTACCGATCTTCAATATGTCGACTTGTCTTTGAACAAGTTATCAGGAGGCATACCAAAAGAGCTGACAAATCTTTCCCACCTCCTCTACTTCAATGTCTCCCACAACCACCTTGAGGGTGAACTACCATTAGGGGGATTCTTCAACACTATCCCGCCGTCATCTGTCTCAGACAACCCATCCCTATGTGGATCTGCTGTTACCCGTGCCTGCCCTTCCGTTCACCCCAAACCCATTGTCCTCAACCCTAATTCATCCAACCCCGTCCATGGTTCTTCCGGTCCAACTCATGGTCACAAGATCGTATTCAGCATATCAGCTCTCATAGCTATTGGTGCAGCTGTATTCATTGCCATTGGTGTCATAGCTATAACGGTCCTCAATATGCACGTGCGGTCTTCATTGTCACGTTCTGCTGCTCCTCTTGAGTTATCAGGCGGGGAAGATTATAGTAATTCCCCGGGTAATGATCCAAACTACGGCAAGCTTGTCATGTTTTCTGGTGACGCTGACTTTGGTGCTGGGACACAAGCCTTGCTCAACAAGGACTGCGAACTTGGTCGTGGTGGGTTTGGAGTAGTTTACAAAACAGCCCTTCGTGATGGGCGTTCAGTTGTGATAAAAAAGCTAACAGTCTCAAGTTTGATCAAGTCCCAAGAAGATTTCGAGAGGGAAGTTAGAGGACTTGGAAAGATCAGGCACCGTAATCTTGTGGCACTTGAAGGGTATTACTGGACTCCGTCCTTGCAGCTCATCATTTATGAATACATTCCATGCGGGAGTCTGTTTAAGAATCTGCATGACGGACCTGGCAAAACCTGTCTCACTTGGCGGCAGAGGTTCCACATAATTCTTGGGATGGCAAAGGGTTTGGCTTATTTGCACCAAATGAAGATAATCCACTACAATTTGAAATCAACTAATGTTTTGATAGACAGCAATGGCGAGCCTAAGGTGGGAGACTTTGGCCTGGCAAGGCTGTTGCCAACACTAGACCGGTGCATCTTAAGCAGCAAAATCCAAAGCGCGCTTGGGTACATGGCGCCTGAGTTTGCATGTCAAACGGTTAAGATTACTGAGAAATGTGATGTGTATGGATTTGGAATCTTGGTTTTGGAGGTGGTGACTGGAAAGAGGCCTGTCGAATATATGGAGGATGACGTGATAGTACTCTGTGACATGGTGAGGGGAGCGCTCGAGGAAGGCCGGATGGAGGAATGCCTTGACAAAAATCTCCTTGGCAATTTTCCAGCAGAGGAGGCAATTCCGGTGGTAAAGCTGGGTTTAATATGCGCGTCTCAAGTGCCATCAAATCGCCCGGACATGAGTGAAGTGATCAACATTTTAGAACTCATCCAATGCCCTTCAGAAGGCCATGAAGAATTAGAATAAATTTAGTTTACTGATTGAGAAAATGAACTGGTAATCGCCATGTTCCGGTGAAGATCAATCCGGTTTTGTTTCAAGCAAAAGCTAAAAGAATACAGAGTGTTGGAGTTCCATCTCCATGTCTTCAAATCCGTTTTTCGGTAATGTATTTATTTCTGTATTTTTTTCCCTACTTAATTCTATAGCACTTATAAGGTGCCGGATTGCTTTTCACCGGTTTGAAATGGAACAACTTAATTAGGGTTTGGGTTGAAGATCTCTGAGTGTAAGCAACAATTGACTCAATCTGTCTCTGGACTTGTGTTCGCGTGTTACCTACATGTCATCGAGCTATTTTTGGCGTACGGAAAGTGTATGCAAGTTTTTCTCCGTTTCTATGTTTCATATTGTCCTTGGTTTTTTACCAATAGAGAGGGGAGATTCGAACGCATGATCAATATTAAAAGGAGATACTACTAGAGACTAAACGGGAGTTCGATACTTTCACTAAAAGATAGTGCATCAAAATAAAGAAAATATGTAAAACTTTAGCAATGATTTCTAAACTTTGGACCTTGTCGCTATCTCCCGATGTTAACATAAATTGAAAGTTTATAAGTTAAAAGACATTCGAAAGTTCAAAGACAAAATAGAATAATGGTTATAATTCATAAAAGTTAAAAAACCAAATTAAAAGTTCAGAAGACGAAGTAGAATAATACCCATAATTTTCCTTCTAAGACACTACAAAAGATTAAAAGAAACATCATTTTTTGCATTTTTAGGGGAGAGAATTTTTAGCATGTCGGGAACATTAACCACTGAATCAAGTGTAATAATATAATTAGTTGGATTTTTTTTTTCAAGTTTCTAACTAATTATATTATATTACACTTGTACCGTTTCGTTTTCACAACACACTGAAAAATTTGTGGAAGCTAGGCCAGATTGCTTTATTTATACTCCTTTTTTTTTGTTGGCCATGTTACTCTTTTTAGTCCTACTAGGCTCTAATTACGGTATCTTTTTACTCAAGTTAAAGAATTTGTAGGTGAAACGTGGTAAAAAAAAAAAACCTTTATCATTCAAAATTAATATCATCATGTGCGTACTCCACTGACCCTAATCAAGATTAGTGTGTTATTTAATCTTTCTCTTAATTTGAAAAGCTTTGTGTCTTCCTGCAAACGTGGTGAATAATAATTAACACTTAGATGTGAAGCTTTTGTTTAATCAAATGGTGTTGGACCCGAGAGGGGAACCTAATCAAACGGCCTTTGGAACATCATGAGACCACCTCACATGGGTCTCTCTCTCTCATCCTCAAAAGCCACTTAGAAGCGCTTTTCCAAAAGTGATTATTCGTAATGCATGGCAAATTGGCAATCATGCCATGTCCTGTACATTACAATAAGAACATTTTGATTTATAATCACGCAACCAAAACAAACAAATAAACCACCTTTTTAATAGTAGAGAGACTAAGGTGCAACCGGTTGTATATTCTATTGTGTTTTGTGATGGATAAACTAAAGAAAAAGATAAGCATAAGAGAATATCTCCTCGGCCGGCAAAATCTTGAGTCCAATTGTGTGTATATCTCATTTTCTCTATCTCTCGTCATATGAGAGCAGGAAATACCATGAGTACATTGCAGAATTTCTCGTAAGAATGCAAGTGCAACCAAATCTAAACTAGTCAATGAGATTATCATCCACGCTAGAGTTTTTTTGTCAAGAATCTAATAACAAAAAATTATAATGTATAAAATACACCAGAACATAATAAAATTTTCCCGAATTGATTAAGGCTAAGAAGATAGAGAAAAGAAAACACCACCTTGGAAATGGATGCATTTTGCGAGGAGAAAGTTGTCGGCTTTGCTTCTTGGTGTTTTTCAAGGAGGAACCGAATGAGTGGAAGACCCACCACGCTTCCACTAACCACCTAAATGCGTGAGTGAGACTCCTGTCAAGGCAAAAACATCATACCAAAAAGTAATGTATTTTGTTCATGTCCCAACTCCAACGAATTTAATCTCTGTTAGGTTATTTTTTAATGAAATTTTAAAAAATCAACACTTTACTAACCGGTTAACGACGAGTAATTTTTTAATATGTCAGAAATATAGTCGGATACATTAATTGTAATTGGTTGAAATTTTTTTTAAGTTTTCAACTAATTGTATTGTTACACTTGATGTATTAGGCAATATTTTCGACACTAAAAATCTCTCATTACCGACTTATGATCTTTTTAAAGATATAAAAATATAGACATTTGAAGTCATCACGAACGGTTCACAAGCCCTCTTAAGATCCCTTAAGCACTACTCAATCTCAAATCTCCCTCAAGTATCAAGCCCTTGATTGATTTAATTCTACTTGTTTCACTTCTCGTGTCATGTCATTAGAATCTAAGAAAAATTTACGTACACTCTAAATGTCATTGCGGTGGTACCCGAGAAATACTCCTATACAACAGCGTGTTACTGATACGAAATACCGATGCAGTAACATTACGGGTACATGTAAGTCATCAAAGTATGTTTGGCTATGTTGTCGTACAGTGAATGTGCTCATTGATCACAAGCAAGAGTAAAAGGAAAGCATGTTTTGGAGATGAGATAGGGACGTGAGTGATGTGATGTCAACTTCAAGGGGACCTGGTGAGTGCTGACAAAAAAGGGGAAGTAGATAGTACCATATCGACTATCTGTATTCTCCAGTTGGGTCCCTGTTATCAGCTAGAACATGGGAACCAAATTGTAAAGGCAAAGGCATTCTATTCGAGCTGAGGTTTTCTTCTGTTTCCCCATCAGTTACTGTTTATGTTTGCTTTCCACAATGCACAACTATAATTTGCAGCGTTGCAGGTACAGGAGGTATGATAATATAAGGCAAAAGTTTAGTGCCTAGCTTACAAGAAATTGCCTGTTGTATTTGGGGAAACCCTGGGAAGATATTGGCCACGTTTGGTGTGTAGAATTAGATAACTCACTAGATTTAAGGTACGATGAAGAAAGAAATAGGTCTCAAGTTTCAAAATATGTCAAAGTGAAAGGAATTAGATTGACTGGTCATAAAAAAAATATATATCTTCCAAATTCCCATAAAAATGGACGGATTGTAAGGATAAGCTTCCTTCAAAACGTGATGAATGTTCTACTTTCAACTTCGACAAAAATTTGAAAGTTGACTTGCATTTCTTCCTTCAACGTAATCTAGTGAGCTATTCAGTCCAGCTCAATCATAGACAACAAATGAGACCATCATGTCTAGTTTCTAGTTTTTGTTGTGTGATAATATGATCCGGTATTTTTAGCACCAACACCATTTCCCATAAGAAAAGTAAATAGACTAATCTCATACATGTTTTTTTACCTTAAAACTTATTTTTTCGAATTGCTAAAGATGTAAACAAAATTGCGCTAAAGTTACGTCGTCACCTGAAAATGACGTGCTGTGTGTCCCGAGCACAATGATAAGTGAGCAAGAATCACAATACCTCCATCGGCACCCGTATGCAGTGTTAAACGAGCAAGGGTGCTGTAGAAATTTCTTTTTGAATTACTAGGGTTGTATAACCTATAGAACGAGTCACATAAAAACTTTAAGTTTGACCTTGTTGAAATTAATTCGAAGTAACTGAACCAAGTGGAGCAAAAGTGTGTACTACTTTGGCCAAAAATATATTACCTCTTGCAATTACAGTAAAAATCAATCACTTATACAGACCTAATTCCTGGGATCTCAGTTACACGAAAACCGCTACTTTCAACAATGCAGTTTGTCAACAAAGGTTTTACATTTTGTATCTCGATTTTCCTACTTTGTTCTTTCGTACCTCGTCCTTCTTTTCTTCTTCTTCTTCTCCCATTTTCTTCTTTCTTTTGAGCTGCTCTAAACTAACTAATCATCCCAATCATTATCCCACCCATCCTTGTTCGCGGTCCTCGACGTAAGGCCATTCGCAGAGATGCTTCCCAGATGCGTCCCAGGTGTTTTCACCGCATTATCGCCATCCCAATCATCATCCCAACCTTCGTCCCAACCTTCAGCCGTTTCCACAGCAGTTGCTGAAACAGATTCCGGCAATCCCATTTCGAGTTCCTGATATGGAACTCCACCTCCAGTACGCTCTTTCCTCTTCCTGACCAAGCAGCAAGCCCACGTTCCTCCAAAAATTAGCACCGTAATAATCAAGAAGTAGGCAGCATTGATCGGGGTCGCTACAGTCTCGAGCGAAGGGAAACGCATGAATAAGTTTAAGTTTCCTTCAGATGCCAGAGGGAGAGGATCCATAAGAAGCTCACATTCTCCATTTCCAGAAGTTAGCGTTATTTTGGTGCTTTTGCCCATATCAACTGATATATTGACCTGTAAAAGAAATAGTAAACAGATCGATTTTGATTATAAAAAGGTCAACTTACGCCCCACATAACAGTCACAGAAAACACAAATATAATTCCATGGTTAATTTAGGACACCAAATAATGAACCAATACAAGGCAGGTCAACAAACTTAAGTAAGGTCATGTATCCAATGGCAAGTCTTTTGCTTGGTATTATCAATTCAGCTGGTCATCTAAACAGAAACAGGGTCATCAACATTTTGGTTCTAAGGAGAACACCAGTAGTGTAGAATGTACGTCCCTTCTCATAAACTTTCACATCTCCCTTCCGCTTATCTCAGCCACAATTCTAATTTGTTCCCAACATTTTAAGGGGAGAAAGCTCGAGAGAGGATAAGAGAGGAAGAATCGAATTGTTTTTTACCAGCTGGTGAGGGAGAAAAGAACTACAACAAAAAACGATCTAAAATAGTTTTTACTTTTCATGTTTTTTATTTTTCATTTAAAAATCAGTCTGTTATTTTTCCTATCTCCCTTCCACTCTCCTCTCCTCTTTGTTTTTTTAGCTAAGAAGAAAAACACGCTACCAAATGGAGTCTTATTGGTCATGTTTCTTTCCCTTTTTTTTTTACACATTCAGGCCAATCCAAAAATATTATACTGTTCCCACAGGAATTTACAAAATACTGCCATTCTTGTGTTTGGAAACCCACACAACAAAGAATAGTGCAAGACTGTGGTCTAATCAGAAGGTGAAAACTATGTCATCACACGGCGACTTTCAAATTTTTTCTTTTTTCAGAAAAGAGAAGAAAAGATATATCACCACCACATAAAAACAATAACAAAGTAGCAGAGTTATGACGAGGAATTCTCTTATGTGCCTAAACTTTTGACTCTTTTTTTGTCAAAGACTTTTGACTGATGGATACAACAGCATTTGCTATCCACTATTCTAAAAATCCCCGCCTAGGGCCACCTCGGCTCTGCCTAAGTGTTAGGCGGCTGGCCACCTCCCCGATTAATGCCTAGGTGTTTGAAAAT